CTACATAAACAGTTCTAGTCCTAGGCCTGGAAGCTTTTAGCCCTTATACAATCTAATCTTCTGCAAGTCTGGACCTTGAAGGCTTCAGCTTCCAGCCTCTGTGTGCTAACCAAGGCCTAGAATGTTTTCGGTCTCTAAGATTTACTGCTGAATAAGCTCACTTTCTCTAGTTCTATCTGAACTCCGGCTGGCTGGTTCAACTCAGCTGTTCTGGCTCAAAACTCCGCTCCAAGCTGACTGATTCAAACTGGCTTCTCTCTGCTTCTCATTTAATTGCTCTCCTTGGAGAAACTGCCTCTGAACTCCATGAACTGAACTGCACAAACTCAACTGCACTCAACTGAACTGCACAGAAGCACATTGAATTCTACTGTACTGTCTCCACGAACTCTCTGTATTTCTGTATCTAAGTCATTGGGTGTGATCCCTTGCCAGAGCAGCCATGCTGCTGGATTAAAATTCCTCTACAGGGTATTCATTGTACAAAGTGATATTTTTCATAAGATATTCATTCTGCCGTGTGCTTTGAGCATATCTACCACTAACCCTTTCTCTGTCTCTCCCCTTTTTTTGATAGTTCTTTGCCCAGATAATTGGCCACAGTGGAAATTTTGGTTTCTTTACAAACTCAGTTATGTAAGCAGGTTTTTGTTTTAATCCCAAGTGTGGGATATGGACATGGAAGTGTCCCTGAAGTATGTGCCTTAGCCTCCTCTGGGTATCTTCTCAGGAGTGGTACAGCTGCCTCTTACCATAATGCTAATGTAGGTAGGTTTTGGGGAAGTTCTTTTTGTTTTTGAGGAACCTCCATGCTGATTTCCACAGTGAGGGCACCAATCTACATTCTGACCAGCAGTGTGCCCTTCCTGGCTGCTCACGTCCTCACCAGAATCTGTTGGTTTTTGTTTTGTTTTGTGTTAATAGCCATTCTGAATGGAGTGAAAAGAAATCCCAACATCTCCTTTCATGTGTGCGTGTGTTTAGGAGCATGTATGCATGTCCACACGCAAGCAAGTGCTGTCTGAGGCCAGAAGTGAGCCCCGGATGTTCTGGAGCTGGAGTTCCTGGCAGTTGTGAGCTGCTTGAAGTGCATGCTCACCATCAAACTTGGCTCCTGAGCAAGAGCAGCCAGCCCTCACAGCTGCTGAGTCATCCCCGCAGCCCCTCCATGCGGTTTTGATTTGCGTTTTTCTAGTTTCCAAGGCTTTCACAAACGCATAGCAGCCATGATAACGACCATTTTTAAACAGCAGTTTTAGGTTCGTAGTAACGCCAACGAAACTGAGGTCACCCAGATGCCCTCTCTCCCCCACACAACCTCCCTCACTCTCACAGCTCCGTGTCATAGTGCTATATTTGTCATGGTTAAAAAAAAAAAAAAAAATCAGAGTAAACTGCTGCAGAGCTTGCTGTAGTAGCTTAGTCTAAATTAGTGGTGTCCCATGAGCCCTGTTTAAGTGACAATCGACATTAGTAAATCGCCACCAGCCAGGCCTCCGGTTTTGTTTGCGTTTTGCTTGCTGGTGCTGTACATTGTAAGGGTTTATGACAAAGTAACAGTGATATGACTCCTCCATTACTTTGCACATAGAATGGTTTCATTATCCCCCCAATTCTCTGTCTGTTCATCATCCCCTCTGCCAAGACCCTGGAGCTTACTGAATTGTTTATTGTCTCTGCCCCTCTTCCTCGGGATGTCATATAACTATAATAGCACAGAAGGTAACACTTTCATGTTTGTTGAATTTACTTAGTATTTTGTGTCTATTCTTCCGTGTTTTATTATAGCTTGGTTTAAGATAGCTTGGTAGCTATCTTTTAGTGCTCAAAAATATTCCATCGTATAGACGTACCGCAGTTTGCTTATTAGTCCTCCACTGAAAGACATTTCGATTTTTCCAAGTGTTATCAATTGCAGAGAAAGCTGCCATAAACTTACATTAAAAGGTGTAGACACCTTTTTAACTCTTCTGTTTAAACACCAAGAGGTATACTTATTGAATTGTACAGTAAGAGCATTTTTAGTTTTATGAGAAATGGCCAAACTCTGTTCTAGAGTGGGGGACTAATCTGCTAGAAATAAGTGTGCCTTTTTTTTTCCCAGTGCTATGGATTCAACCCATAGCCTTGTACATGCTAGACAAGTGCTCTACCACTGAAAAGCTCTCTCTGTCTTTGTCTCATTCCTTTTTCTTTCCTTCTGTTTTGTTTTGAGACGAGGTCTTACTTTATAATCCATGCTTGGGATTTACTAGGCAGACCAGAATGGCCTCAAACTCAAGGCAATCTGCTTGCCTCAGTATCCCAAGTTCTGGGATAACAGGAATGAGCCACCATAAGGGGTAAAATGAGACTTCCCATTGAATGTTCTCTTCCCAAGCATTTGGTGATGTTAAGGGGAAGAAAGAATTGAAAAGTTATATCCTGTTAAAATTTAAAACTTTCATTTGCCAAAGTTCCTGTTAAAAGAATGAGGGGGGGGGAAGCTACAGATGGGGAGAAAATATTTGCAAAACACATATCTGATGAAGGACTAGTATGCAGAATATGAGAAGAACACATATAACAATAAAGTGAACAATATAAAAGAAAAATGGACAAAAGACCTGGTGAGACATGGACCCAAAAAGAGATACTCCACCCAGTGACATAAGGGAGACACGAATTCTATAAACACAGGCTGCCGATGAGGATCTATGAGAGTGCCACACAGCGCTGTCACCATGTCCTGTTATTTGGGGAAAGGTGTTATGTCTGGAGTGAGACCGGGTCTAACTGTCGCAGGCTAACTCAGAACTCACTGGGTAGCTCCGAAAGCCTCAGATTCCTGGTAATCTTCCTGCTCAGTCCCCTCTCCCCCCCAACACTGAAATTATAGGCATGAGCCACCACACTCAGCTCAGAACTGTTTTCGAGTGTATAATACAGAAGTTTAAATGCATTCACCTTGTGTGAGAGTCCCTGACCTTCAGAACTTCGTGTTACAAAACTGAAACTCAGTGACCCCCCCCCCCCCCGGTTTCTCTTTTTGGAAGCCATGGCAAACATCATTCTACTTTCTGTTTTTATGAACGTGGCTATTCCAGTTCCCACAAGGGGATTTATACATGGTTTAGCTTGTCACGGCTGCCTTACTTCACGTAGAATAAATAATATATTCAATCTTCTTTTACCTTGTAGCAGGTGACAACATTTCTCCTATCGAGACCTACTTATATATCTATATATTGAGACGGGGTCTCAGCCTGCAGCTCTGGCTATCCTTGAACTCATTATGTAGACCAGGGTGGTTTTGAACTTAGAGTATTGCTAGGGTCTGGGATGTGGCTCAGTGGTAGGATACCTGCTTCACAGCCTTAGAACTCTAGGTTCGGCCCCTGCAGAACCACCAACCAAAAAGGTGGCCTGGGGAAGAGTCCCCAGATCTGCCTATTAAAGGGGCACTCACCAGCCTGCGGCACAGTAGAACCTTTAAGAGATGGGAACTTGGGTGTGAGAAAGTTAGGTCACTGGAGGAGTGACCTTGAGAGGGACATTTGTCTCCCTCTGTCACAAGGTAAGGGCGTCATCCAGAATGTGCTTCCAGCAATGGGCGCTGGTTCCCCACAAGCTAGCCAGAAATTCATTCTACCGTCCAGTCTAGCCTTCGTCGTTCCTGCCGTTGCCGCTTCAATGCTAGGAATACAGCCATGTACCACCTCACTCTGATTTTTCAGAATTCTTCAGTGAGAAATCCCTCCAAGAATTAGCCCTAAACATATATGAATACGGACACACAAATCTTTATTTTACTGTCTAATGCGGGAAAACTGCAAGCTGCCTGCAGGGAGGGAAAGGAACTCACTTTGATGTGTCCCTTCCTTGGTGTATTATCCAGCATTTAAATAAGGAAGCAAAGCTAACATGCTCGCTTAGCTAGGTTTGGAGGTGCATGTCTGCAGCCAAAGTGGCTGAGTCAGGAAGATCACTGGGGTCTGGGAGTTCAAAACCAGCCTGGGCAACATAGACAGGCCCTGAATCAAAAATGAAACAAAACCTGAATCCAGACAGTGTTTACTCTAAAAAGATATTCACGTTCCATTGAGTGAGAAAAGCAATCTGAAGGGGTATATGAATGGTGAGACTGCCTTTTGGTAACTGTGTTAGATATATTGGGTAGGATATATATGTATTGATGTAGAGAGGCCATTTGGGCTTAAGATTGGTATGTGCTTCTTAATCCAGAGACCTAAGGTGGTTTCTATGAGACATGGTCTCTCCCTGAATCTGAAGCAGGTGTGTGTGTGTGTGTGTGTGTGTGTGTGTGTGTGTGTGCGTGTGTTTCAGTTTTTCAGCTAGGCTGACAGCCAGTCAGCCCCAGAGAGCCTCCTGCCTCAGCCCCCACACTGACAGGGAGCTTCAGAAGTGCTAGAGAGCACATCTGGTTAGTTCCATGGGTGCTGGGACCTGAACTTGGGGCCTCACGATTTGTGCAACAAGCATGCTGAACCACTGAGACATCTCTCCAAACCAATATTATTAAATTAAAAACATGTGAGTGGTGGAAAGATGAGATTGGACTTCTCATATTTTACTTTAAAAATCGAAAGTTCACCGTGTGTGCCTCTCTCTAAATTTTTCTGGAGTATGCACACTGTTCAACACTTTCAGTTCTGTGTCAGTGGCCGCAGCTCTTTCGATATCAATCCACAGGGGGTAAAGGAGAAAAAGACAAAGAGACACAAATCATTCGAAGTAAGACAGTGGGGTTTTCTTTTGGTTTGGTTTGGTTTTTAGGTTTTTTTTTTTTTGAAATGCCAGTAGTGTGACTCATGTGTTGATTTCCATCCCACTCTTCCAGAGGGCTGGGCTCTCACCCCTGCCAGCCTCCGGTGTACAGACAGTTCAGAGCACGCTCTGTAGAGCCATACTGCCTGAATCAGAACAAACTACCACACGCAGCCCAGGGCCCTCCACATTTACCTTGGTTTCCCCACCTGTAAGATGAGAATAATACTTACTTTGAGAGCATATCTTGCAGATAGACGATCTCAGTTAACGCCTGGCCAGCTCTTTGCAGTATCTAGAGCAGAACAGTGATCATCAAGTATTACATGAGACCAGCTAGGTTCACAAGAGCCAAAAGTCCACTATAAAAGTCCAGGGGAACGCCTGAAAGTTAGAAACTGCGGAACACTTCAGCTTTGGAAAATGGCGAAACCTTTGTCTTCCCACTTCCCTGAACTCTGACACACAGATAACTAGCTTCTCATCCTGGCCAACAACTAATTGCACAGTCCCATAAGTATACAATTTGAGGGCCACTGGCATTACAGTAGTTCACTTAATTTAAGACCCGCTGCTTTTTGTCCAATCTGATTCAGCTTGCTCTCTACTGCTGTTGTGCAATAGGCAAGAGAAAGCTGTTGAATCATTCCAAACCGGCTTCCTGATGCCAAGATCCCATTGTGCAAGGGCAGACAAAAGGTCTTAGTCAACAGTAAGGCAATGGTGTCGTGTCTGAGTAGAAAGTGTCTGACTTTGAAAACTATGTGACCAAGGACAGTTAAGTCCCACGATTATATAAATTAAGAATTTCACAAAGTTGTCTTTGAAGTTCCCCTCATAGAGAAGAGTGAAGTAAAAGCTAGACTGAGTTACACCAAGTTTGGCAGTACATGGGAGGCTGAGCCAGGGGGATCTGCTTCAAGACAGAGCCAAGACTGAAGAAAAAACAAACAAAACCAGAACAACTCTACAGGCCCACATTGCTAGAAATCTACTGCATGCATATGTAAGTGTGTGTAAACAGAACAACAAAATCTCCACAGAGCACAAGGGCACACATCCGTGATCCCAGCGTAGGGAGGTAGAGGCAAGAGGAGCAAGAGTACAAGGTAAGCCATGATTATAGAGTGAGTTTGGGGTCAACCTGGGCTCCATTAGTGTGTGTGCTGTGTGAAAACAAAACAAAAGAAAATGTCCCCTTTCCACCTCTGGCTGCCGTGCTTGCCTCTAGCTGGTTCAAGAAACAAGTTCACCCTTTGACTTTGCTGTCTGCACTGTCAAAGACACCTATTATTTTGGTGATCATAAACTGTTTTTATTATCAGCGTAATTCTTTTAAAAACGGCTTGTCATTATGGCCGCAGTCTCCTCTTCTATCTCTGAGTTTAATTGTAATGAGCCTTGACCTTCACTTGATCTGTTTACAGTTTCTTGGGGTGCTTATTCTTACAGCCCTTGGGTGTCAGGGTCCTTCAAAGCCTTGTGGTTCTTGGTCTGCTGCTTGTCTTTGAAGATGAGCACCTCCGCTTGCGGAAGCTGTGGTGCCCAGACCTTGTCTAGGGCCACCGTGGCTGGGTGAGAGCAGGGATGCCCAGAAGTACAGCCCATTGTTTCTCCCACTCACTCCCAGGAACAATACAAGCAGGCTTTCAACTTGCAGTCTTCTTGGTCTAGCTTCCAAAGCAGCTGCAACCAGGCTACCAGCCAGGTTACACATGTCAAAAATACATACATTATATCGCATATTTTAATGGATATTGTCTGACAGTTTTGTTTTAAATTTAACCTTTTCTGTCTTCTTTTCCGTTTGTTTGTATTGAGGCAGAATTTCTCTGTGTAGCCTTGGTTGTCCTGGAACTCACTCTGTAGACCAGGCTGGCCTCGAATTCAAAGAGACTGGCCTGCCTCTGCCTCCCAAGCGCTGGGATTAAAGGTGTGCACCACCACCACCATAGATGGCGTATATTTATCATATCCATCCACCGCTTCCTGCCTCCAACTTCTCATAGCACCTCCAACCTGTCTTTCTCCCAAATTCATCCTCCCCTCCCCCTGCTTTTAAATAGAACTTCTGATTCTAATTACATTGTCCATGTGCACATGAGTCTGGGACCATCCAGCAGGGCATTTGCAACCTACTAGCAACCCTTCCCCAAAGGAGACTGGCTTTCCCTCTTTCAGCAGCCAACAACTGCCAATAGTTCCTCCTCTTTCTCTCCTGTGTGTGGGGGGAGGACTCCCCCATCCATGCTGGGATTTGGACTGGCTTGATCTTGTGTAGGTAACCCCAGCTGCTGTAAGCGCATTTGTTCAAAAGCCGTGTCGCATCCAAAAATCAGCACCCCACAGCTCTCCCACCCACCCACTAGCTGTGTCATCCTTTCGGTCCAGTCTTATGCCGTGATTCCTGAGCCTTGGATGGAGGGAGGTTGACAGAGATGGCCCATCACAGCTGAACAACACATTCTGAAAGGAGGGAACTGACTCCTGCAAACTGTCCTCTGAGCACTGTGTGCACATGAACACAAACAGCCAGACATAGTGGGCACATGTGTGTGTGTGTGCCTGAGTGTCTGCACACACATCCACACACCGCTACTTAAACAAGTAAAGAATGATCTAGAATGCAGTTTTATAGCATGACAATTTGGCAAAACAACAGTATGTGCCTCCTAGGGACTATGAACGCTGACGTCACGCACCTTGGCCGTGTTTACAGTACCCGGCATGAATCCCTCCTGTGGAATGGTCCTCATATCTCATCAGAAAGCAGTTAGTTACCCCATGATTCCTATGTCAGGGCTGCACCACGGGCACACTAACATATTGTATCATGTAGGGTCCAGTGCTTGGTAAGGCTATTGATGTCTTCTCTCCCCAGAGCCCGAAGATGACTTTCTAACTATGTAAATGAGCCCGCAGTAAGGGAGTTCCCTGGTTAGTTCAAGATTGGCTTCTCTGTGTTCTGCATCAAAGCTGTGTGGTGTCAGCCTGGGGGTGGTGGCAACGGCGGCACACATCTCTAATCCCAGCACTTGGGAGGCAGAGGCAGAACTGTGAGTTCAAGGCCAGCCTGGTCTACAGATCCAGTTCCAGGAGAGCCAAGGCAACGTAGAAAACAAACAAACAAATAAAATGTGCGGTATCTTCAGCAATAGGCTCTCAGCATCTTGTTATGGTGAGCACTCTAGGGCAATGGCAACAGCTTGTGGTTTTTTTGGATGCCTCTTGGACCTTTGTGACCAACAATTCATAAAGAAATATCCAGTGCCTGGCATTGAGATTTTTCACTTAATAACCCAAGTCTTCAAGGCAGCATTGTCCACCCATGCTGAACATTTCTGTTTAAACATCTCTGTTTAAACTCATATACATATATATGTGTATGTGTGTATATATATATGTATATGAGTATTTATATATATACTCTTTTAAAGTATCTTCCTATGTGTATGCACACATATATATAATATTCTTAAAGCATCATACAAACTGGTAGATTTCAATGAGGCTTCTCCGTATATCCTTAGTTTGAGCTAACCTATCCCCTACCCTCTCCCTAATCTTCCATCCCCTTTTAAAAACCTTTAAGTCTGAGTTATTTCCTCCTTCTCCTTCTATGTCACCTGTGTCCTATCCCCTCTAATCACATTTCCTGCCATGCTTGGGTTGGATGGTCGTGTGTTTACACACACAGCTTTATCATTTTTGGTTAAGACCTCTCTGGCTCCTCATTTCTTCATCTCCTCTCCCAATTCTCATTTCCCCATCTCCTCTCCCACCTCTTACTTCCTGTCCATCATCCACTACACTCCATGCTTGAATCTTTTCACCCTCCGTACCTCCCTTCCTACTTTTGTTTTACTCTCTCCTTTCTCTTAATGCACTCACCCCCTGTGACCTGTTTCAAAGTTTCTGGCTTCCAAATGTACCCTCCAGGTTAATCATACAAAAAAAAAAAAAATCAAAGTTAGAGTCTACGTTAGAGAGAAATCATGCTGCATTTGTCTTTCTAGATGACCTAAATGCAATAGAATTTTTCCTAGCTCTATTTACCTGAAAATTTCATGGTTTCAGTTTTCTTCACAGCTGAGTGGATATGCAACACATTTTCCTTATCCATTCATCTGTTAACGGACATCTAGATTGAGTCTATTTCCAAACTATTATGAGTAGAGTAACTGACCATGGACGTACAAGTGTCTCTGGAGTGGGCTATAAAGCCCTTTTGAGGTAGTAACCCGGGGGTGACACAGTGGAGTCATGTGGCAGTTGTAGCTTTTTGAGAATGTTTCGGACTGACCTCCAGAGTGGCTGGCTGCCCTAACTGACAACCCCACCAACAGGGCCGACAGCCTTCCTTTCCCTGCATGCCGTCAGCATCTGCTCTCCCCTGTATGCCTGGTCACACCACTTCTGGCTTGGGGTAAGATGGAACTAAGAAGCCTTTCTAGAGCCTTCTCCCTCTATCCTCACCTCCCACCCCCATGACACTTTGGTACCACAGAGACATCACCCCTCGATATGTTTATCGATGGTGGCCCTTGAGGGGGACGCAGAGTGGAGTGACATTTACGCTTTCTTGCTTCTTTTCCTCTCAACATCCCACACGTGAGCCAATTCTTGCAGAGGTTAGAGTGTTAACACCCCAGCTACAATCAAGACGTGGAGAACGTCTCTGTCCCCCTGCACAAGTGTCCAGGTAAATATGCGTGTTCCTCTGTTTAAAAAGCGACTGACTACAAAATTCTCCTGATGCTTTTCCCAGCACTCGAAACTTATAACACTGGAATATTCCAGACCTACAAGGAGCTGCTATGTACCCAGTACAGCATGGCTTGAATGCACGAGGACCCCACCAACACTTTGCATCAGTTGGTACATTTTATAGCGGATTTTAAGTTGATGTTTACAATCTATTTATAATATTTTGATACTTGAGGGTTTTTTTTTTTCAATTTGGATATGCTGATTGTCTGTTCAATTATTTTCAAGCAATAATACAAATTTTTCTCCTTTGTAGCATGGTGAATCTAAGTTCTGAAGGGACAGAAGAACATTCTTAACTACATATTCAACTTCTAGCTTTGTTTAGGTGGGGTTTGTTTTGGTTTTGTTTTGTTTTGTTTTTGAGACGGGTTCTCACATAAACCAGACTAGCCTTGAACTCTCTATGAAACTATGGACAACCCTGTGCTCCTGAATTTCCTCCCTGAAGCTCTCAAGTGCTGGGGCTGCAGGTATGTGCCAACATGCCAGCTGTCAGCATTCTTTATAAACATTATCTTCTAGCCTAACTGTGATAAAACAGAATAACAATATGTCCTGTTAGTTCTTTTTCATGTCATGTAATTATGATAATTGGAACTTTTGGCATATTTAACTCATGCAATATATTAAAATTACAAATTAGTATTTTGCACTTAAGCTAGTGCGTAAGAGGAAAAGAACACAAAAAGCCAGG